GAAGATGTGGCAGTGGCGGCGGCAGGCATTGCCGCAGCAACTTGAGCAAAGGAGCGAGGGCTGGATGGCGTGCGAGGGGTGCGGGGAGAAGCATTGGAAGTGTTTCCGATGATGGAATGTTGCTCCCCGCCGCCGTTTGACGTCTTGGTCACTGGCTCGGCCGCGGGCACGACGGCACGTGCCGAAGACTCGGTCGCACCGGCAGCGGGGGACGTCGAGGGCACATGAGACGAGGCACGGGCGGTAGGGACAGAGTGGCGGGCGTGAGGGCGAAGCGGGGTGGTCATGGGGTCAGGGAAAACATGGTTACGGTCGTGGCGAGCGCTGCCATGTTTTGTGTGTTTTGCAGAACGACGAGTTTGGGAAGGCGAGGTGGTGGTGTTGCTTGGAGGTGACTCGGCACTCGGGCGTTTAGCACCGCGGACCTGGGTCCAAGAATCCTCGCCGCCGGACTCAGTGGCCATGTCCGCGGGGCAAGCAAGCGAGCAAGCGAGCGGACACGGTGGGAGCGACGGCGCCGCCAAAACGCGGGCCGCAAAGAGCGGGGTTGCAGATTTTGTCTGACAACGTGGTTCACGCCAAGATGTCAGAAAAAAAAAGGTCAAGGTCAAGAAGGAAAATGGTACCGATCCAGGGAGATCGCTCCCATTTATAGCAGGTGGAAACACACACACAGTGGAGACAGAGAATGGACTATCACACTGAAGACAGGTGGAAGCGATATCAGCAATCTGTTGGGACCAACAGATGCCACAACAAGATGATACACCAAGATGGTACAGCAAGATGTTACACAACAAGGTGGGACAACATCAAGTACCAAAGGACACACTACGTGGTAAAGTATACCGTCTCAGATTGTGCCTCTAATACTCCCCTTCAAGCTGAGAACGGAAGAGCATGTCACACAAACGACGATGGCTCGGTCCATTGAGCAGCTTGGTGAGAAGGTCAGCAACCATGTCCTTGGTCCCGCAGAACTGGACATCGAGCTGGTTGCGTTCATACCTCTCTTGCACAAAGCGATACTTGACAGCAATGTGCTTGGAGCCCGGAGAGTTGGCTCCTGGTGGACCCGTGCAGTGGCGCTCCAAGCTGCAGACGGCCACGACCACGTCCACGACCGCGTCCGCGACCACGTCCACGGCCATGCCCGTGCCCGCGCCCTCCACCATGCTCAACAGCAAAGGCACCCTGTTTAGGTTCGGCGCGGGCACCAGCAGGCGTGAGTTTGTGCAGGTTAGCAGTCACCACCTCAAAGAACTTGCCCAAATCCCAAGACGGTTGATACAGGTTTGCAATTACGTCCCTGAGTTTCGAAGGCAGGCCATCAACCAGCTGGGCGATGACGAGGGTAGCCGAGTAGGCGCCCTCAAT